ATACTGCTTGCACTGACTACGAAAATATTTATTGTACCAGGATTAAGTTTGCACTGTCAAAAACCTATCTCAGCACACATTTGGAGAACTCTTGAGAGCTTGTTTGGAGGTTCTAGCAGGGGAGCACAGCTACTCAATATACCCTTGACCGGAGACCGGTCCTCCTCTAGCCGGGAAGGTCGTCCTCTTCGACCAAGCGCGCAGCTTCGGGAGGGATGCACATGGAGCGGTGAGGGAGGAAGGGGACACCCGCCTAGCCAGCCAGATCAGCCGAATCAACCCTGGCAATCGATGGGGTGACAGATGTCGCAGCCAGACCGCCCTCACATCCCACATTCGGAGAACTCTTATCAGAACATATACAATTACTACCAGGAAGATTGGATAATACAAAAATGACTCTTCTCCAGGCCTAAAAGGACCCAGGGCAATAGAAGAGGGAGGCTACCACATGGCAAACCTGCAAGTTTACTACTAAGGAGAAAGGCTGTGGGGAAGGGATTCTGACACTGGAAGGGAGACTAAGAAGGCAGCTTGTTAACATGTTTACTGTGTACACTGCTGGATCCCGGCAGACTGCTGGGTATGGGGCTATAGATTATTAACCAGCCACCATGCCTTGTTTCCATGTGAAGACCAAGAACCAGAGGTTTGAAGGGGATGTGGGGTTCCTTTCTCTTGAACAATTTACTTCCTCTCTGTAATGGGAAAACATCCATACTGATTCTGCAGCATATTTTCAGATTGTAAGGTGGCGTTCAATATTCCTGGCTGTCACTATGTTGATGTTTTTTCTTCCAGTCTTTTCCCTGTATTTCCTGTCAGTGTGGGAGGCAGAGAGCCACATGAAAAAGGTTAGAGCAAACTCAAGAGGAAACCACTCCATCATCTCAAAGTGGGTTTTGAGTTTTCTACCCTCAATTTTTCAGAATGATAAATTTGATTACTGCCCAATTATTTTATAGTTGTGTATCCTGAAGGTGCTAAGCAAATATATGATTTGGAAAGTTACTGACAAACGGAGTTTGTTCTTGAATGTTATCTAGGGCAGCTACATATATGAAGTTCACAGTAATTAAGTCTTTTTAAATGAGTTTTATGTATCACAGCAACAAAAGTTACATTGAACTATAGAGTAAAATGTCTTTTTAATCATACTGTAGTTTGTTAAGGCACACAATGGTAAAATTAAGAAGTTCTGGGGTATCAAGAGTAACAGTCAATTCTTTAGAAACCAGATATCCTGGTATTGCTCTGGTTTAGATCTGTGACATCCAACATGGTGGCCACCACCCACATGTGGCTAGTCCAAATTGAGATGTGCTGTAAACGCAGTATACACACTGGATTTTGGAGACTTGGTATGAGAAAATACAAAGTATCTCAATAACTTGTAGTATCGAATACATATTGAAATATTTTGTACATGTTGGATTGAATAAAATATTAAAAATAACTTCAACTTTTTTTACTTTTTAATGTGGCTACTAAAAAATTTTAAATTATTTATGTGGCTAATTGTACACTGGACAACATTGTCTAGCCAATTCATTAAAGTGCATAAGAGACCTGAAACACTTGGCTGTGAAGTGATCACATTCATAAGAATTTCATCCTCTGTTGCAAATAGGGGCTTAAGAACTAATTGTACCCAGTAATGGTTATTTCCACATTTGAAACACTTGTGGATTGGTATTATCAAAGCATACTATGTTGTAAGAATAAGATTAAAAAGACTTTAAAGGGAAATAAATTAGCCAGGATGAAGTCCTGACAGAGTCCACATTTTATGTCTTATTTAAGGACCTCTGTAGCTCACCAAAATAAGTTCTGAGGATCCAGTGGCTTTTTAGGACAGCTCTCTTCCAGGCAGTGACTCAGGACTCAGGGCTGCCTCCACCCTGGCAGAGGAAAAGAGAGCTGGCTTTTATATGCTCTCACATGGAAAGGCCACATAGCTTACAGGCCTTGGCCAGAATCAGCCATATGGTCCTCCCTGCCTCACTTTAAGCAGGGTGACTTGGGAGAGTGCATGGGTAAGTCAGTAAATGCCTCTGTAACAAAAAAGCACAAGTTTTGGGTTTCTTGTGATCCAAGTACTCTTCCAAGTATGTTGTAAAAAGGACGGGGGGAAATCAAGATTTGGTCACTTTTCTGAATGCTTCTGTCAGTTAAGTACTGGAGCTGGTCAGAAGGTATCAGCTTCTTAAGTAACAGTTACCATATGCATAAGCAGATTGTTTTTATTTTCTTCCTTTTTTAGTCAAAAGAAAGCTATTATACAAACATATATGACAAAGCAGAGGCTCTTCCTTCCGTATGCTGACAAACTATAGCTAACATGGACAAATTTGACCTATTGTAATCTTGTTTCCTTCATCTTATAGTTGACATACATAGGAAGAAATCTAGTTACTTACTTACGTATCCCTACTGTTCACTGTGCATATGCCAGGTGTAGCTTTTGTAGGGAAATAGGTACCATATGTTATGGTAGTTACTTTTGTGTTTCTAAGTTGTTTACACAAATGCAGAAACATAAAATCTGAAATACAGTCTAAAAACTAAACCTGGCAGCTAGTAGCTCAACTCAGCTGTACCTTCCTGTTGGAATCCCCACCTCACCCCAACATTCCATGCACACATAACCCTTCCGCTTCCCCTTCCCTAACCCAGTGACATGAAATGCAACAAACTTTTTTTTTAAGTGTACATCATACATTTATTACCAACAACCCTCTCAACTCCAAAATTGGGCACAGGGATTAAAAATAAAAATTCATTGCACTACTTAGTAAAGCATTACTAGTAACTTTCATAAAAAATGTACAAACTTTGTTAAAAATTTATCAAGCCTTCAAATGATTTGGTTACAGATATTTATAATACGTACATTTAAAACTATATGTTAACTGATACAATGGAATATGATTTGAAGAAATGACTCAGCAAATGATTCCAAAAAACACCCCTGTGAGCTTTCATAATCTGAAACAAACAGCAAAACGAGGTAACCAAATGTACCAAAAGGGGGAAAACAGCTTTCTAATGAAGGCCTAAAGATATCTGTGAAAAATATTCTCTTAAGTGAGTTGGTAGATCTCATTTAAAATTATTACAAGAGGCCCAAATTTAAGAATCTTAACAAATCACATTTCAGAGAGTATATAAAATCTAAATATGCTTTCACATTTTCCAGATTTTTCTCAAAAAAAGAAAAAGTTTCAGGACAAAAAAATCCTAATGAGATCTTGATACCTGGAGGCCTTGTGTTTTAGGGGATGGGGGTTAAAAAAACATCAAAGATGACAATTCATGCCAAAAAACAAACAAGAACCCACAAAAAACCCACAGCTGAGTTAAGATGGTAAAGCCAATATTGTTTTAGGAGGAAAGAAAACGAAGGCAACAAACCAACATCTGCTTGCTATCTGGTGCTTCACCCAAGGTGAAAACGGTTGGGCATGAATCAACTGTTCTTTCTCCTCACTGTGGCTAGTCTGAGCTGGTCAGAACACATGCATGTGTGCTCCTAATACACACCAACCACTTAGTAAGCAAGTCTGCACACATCTCTAAGAGCCCCATGCAAAGAAAAGACATTCCTGAAGAGAGATCAGTCCCAAGAGTGCAACAATTAAATTCAGGATTTTACCAAACAGACCCTGCTGCCTCCTAAATTGCCAACTGCCTCTCAAAAATTTACTGAAAAAGGGATATTATAAGAATTCCCGAGGGAGGGAAGAAAAGCTACTTTTCCTAGTCATTAGTACAATGTGCCTTGTTAATTAGGTAACTCTATATAAATTAGAAAAAGTGCTTCGCTTGCATGCTTCAATAAAATGAATACTGAGTGTAGTAGTGTTATGTTAGATCTGTACAGATATAAATTTTTTGCAGCTATATAAAAGTCTATGTATAAGACGGGCTTTCGCCATTTTAAACATGATTTTTTCATTAAAAAAAATAAAGATTATACGTGATTTGTATGTAGCTGATTATTATGCCAATAATTTTGGTCTTTAACATACTTTTTATTCATCAGGAACAGGTGGAGTATGTCCTAATGATTTAAAAGTAACATGTGCATTTTATCACTGTTTAGATGTATTTCTGATGCACTGACAAACCTAGGGGCCAACAGAAAGTATGCAAAATCCTACTTGTATGACTAGATAGAGGCAACAGTGTCTGGAAAAGGGCAAAATTGTGCTTCTGTGTGAATTGACTTTACTGAACTCTAGGCTGTGATGAGCTTATAGAGACTTCCAAGGGAGGGCAAGCAGCATGGCAGTAACAAGTAGTTAACACTGTCTGAGCAGAAAACTGACACAGAGCCAACTGCAAGTTGAGTGAGGCTGGGCAGCAAGTTATCACAGTCCTGACTGGAACAATGCAGCTTGTGCTACTGCAAACAAAGCAATGACACCAACTGCAGGAAGAGGCAGACAATGTTCAATACACTAAAAGAATGAGAAAGTAATCTAAACATTGCTGGAAAAACGGCTTTCAACAATCTGAATTATGCTCAATGAACCTATTTTAAAAAAACCCACATGGCTATGTATTATTTCAGATCAACTAAATGAAGGTCAATTCCTGTTTAACAGCATTATTTTCTTATACAAAAATCAAATCTTCATTTACACTGCAAGTATTCTGGACACCTGTTATATTAAAGTTTTCTCATTCAAACAAAAATTAAAAGGAAAAGCAATAAAACATCAAAGCAAATCAGGTGTAAGGAACACGAGCCGTCACAGCACTTGATCCACCCTGAAACAAGGCATTCGATGGGAAGCACATTTACTGAGGGAAGAACAACTAGACAACTTTCAGAACTGGAGCTTGGCAGGTGAATTTATATGAGCAGAAATATAGTTTTCATAAAACAATTTAGTCGTCTATGGGAGCTTGAACATAGAACACATATTGGAAGTCAAGCTGAGTTAACAGATTTTGTTCTGGTGGAAGTCAATGAGGTGAGACTTCATGGGACCAGTGGTATTCTTAGAAATATATTAATCAAATATCTTCAGAATAGACTACAAATCTAAACATTAAAAAAAAAAATCACAGGTACTTTCTGTAATAAGCTTACTGGAAATGTAAAGGAAAAAACAAGAAGTATCAACATTCAAATCACTGATTGAAATGCTAATATTGCTAACTGATGATGTATGATATTGCACCTTCTTTTTGGAAACAGCAAGTTGGAGATTTAAAAATTTTTCACAACAGAATAAAAAAATCAGGTACATGGAGTGAGAATCTGTTACACTTTTTTTCTTAAGTGACCTACTTAGGACCACCAATAAAGAGAAGGTGACAGCTGCCTGAAGCAAAGGAAGAAGGCTTTTCTCATTCCATTCACTGGGAGGGAAAGGGATGGAGTATTCAATGCTTATAATTGATGCACCCTTAGCAATCAGTGTGCAACAGCAAACACAAGGGAAAACCAGTGTACAGTACTAGTGCTGTTTAAATAACACACCAGATTATACATTGCAGCATAATTAAAACTACACACACATTCTTGGTACATGCTGGTATATAGGATCTCATACACACATTAGCTACCATGCCCTCACACAAGTGGTTGCACACACACTCTCTCACACACAGATACATTTATTACCAACAGTCAGACACTGCATTCATTTCCACTCACAGTTTCTGAAGGCTCTATATAAGGTAGATTGCTATATCATCTGGAGCTACCACTTTTTATAAAAGCACATGCTAAAAGATCACGTCCACTGTAATCTTGCAGCAACACTCGGAATGATCACACAAAAACCAGGGAATGTTAGTGCACACACGAAATTAAGCTAAAGAAAAAGTCTTTGGAGTTCCAATCACACGGTTAGTATAACAATCCCATAATTGTGAAGACTAATTGTAAGCTTTTATAGTTGATTAAGTCACACAGTGCAAAGAAAGGTCCATTGACCCTTTTGGTAAAGGGAGGGCTGGAAGCCACACAGATTAAGTTCAATGGATAGTCCGTATATACATGTGATGAGGAACACCCAAACTAAATTTGTGCTCTTAGGTTGGTCATTCTGAATCCCGATGCACTTCTGAAGCATCAGCTCGGCAAATTGGGCAAGTACGATTTGCCTAAAAAACAAAAGTAAGAGAAAACTTGTCTGAATTATGACTCGTATGATGAAACACATTATAAAAGCAATGAAGCTACTTTACTCCTTGTATAATTTTTACATTCTTTGTTCCTTTAAAGAGATACAAAGCATTTAGTTTGCCTTTTTTTTTTAAAAAAAACCCACAAACCTCAAAGACTTAATATAGTCCATGCATGATTTTTAATAAGTCTGTTCGAACATATAAACAAGATTATCTATCACGTGATCAGACAAATTTAATAACTGAGTTAAAAGTAAAACTGTGGCTATTCTTAATGGAATGAAGTCATAGAAAACATTTAGTGGTACTGAGGAACCTGATTGTAAAATTGCCAATTTTACAGTCAGGCTCTACTCACCTCTTCCTTGGGCTCCTAAAGTTGCTCTTTCTCCATTTCAAAAATTGGCATCATCATTTGCCAAATTGGTAAAGCCAGAAACATAAGCATCACCTGCTCTTTTACTTCCTACAACCCTTTATTCAGCAAATAGTCTTGTTTCTACATTCTCTGTCTTGACCACCATGTCCTTATACCATCTCCCTGTATCTTAGAAATTATCTCTTCTCCAAACAGTGGCCAGTGATCTTTCTAAAACATAATCTCAGTCATATCCTTCCCCATTGCTTTTAGGATCAAGTCTGTACACCCTGACACTTCAGCGTGGCTGCACAGTAAGTTGGTCACAGGTTTTATCTCTGAACACATTTTCTCTTGCCACTCTCCCTCACACTCCAGCCATCAGCCACAAGTAACTTGTGGTTTTCAGATTGTTCTCTGTTCTGACATGTCAGGGATTTGCATATGGAATGCTTTCTTTTTCTAAAAAGTTGAAGACTCTTCATCTTCAGGATTCAGTTATGGCTAAGCTGGGTACCCTTGAACTGTGCTCACTCAAAGAACTACTCTAACTCTTATCTGTCTTCCTCACCAAACTGTGAAGTTATCTAAACCAGTATTTTCTCTAAATCAGAACACTCTATTTAAAAAAAACTGACTATTTAGAGTCTTTTACTGCACCACATTTTTATTCTACTATTATAATTTGAGACTGTGAAAGCATGAAGAATAAAGAACACATAAAAAATTTTTAAAAAAGGAGCCCCTGAAATAATTTGATGCTGGCAAAACCACTGTTAATGGGTTTGTGTTTTTTGACTTTTTTTTTCATATATACAAGGAGAAAATGGTCAGAATTAAATAAAAACAGTAGATGTTTATTCCCTATGCCAATCTCTGACAAAGGAGCTCCTAGTTAGGCACCTTTATAAACTCTCAGAGGAAACTGGCCTAACAAGTTCACACCTCGTCCCTATACTCCATGAGAAGTCAGGACATACTGATTGTCAAGAATAGATGAGCCATTTTTCAAGTTTTGCATAATCACTCCTATGTTAATGACTGCAGTTAATTCTTACTGGCCTCTTCATTTGCAGAGATTATACTGAAATCTGTGTTCCAATTTTGTCTCCTATACCCACTCTCCACTAAACCATGAACTTACTCTAATGAACCTATGGTCAATAAAACAAAATTCTGGCCAGGCGCGGTGGCTCACGCCTATAATCCTAGCACTCTGGGAGGCTGAGGCGGGAGGATGGTTTGAGTTCAGGAGTTCGAGACCAGCCTGAGCAAGAGCGAGACCCCATGTCTATTGAAAATAGAAAGAAATTGGCTGGACAACTAAAAATATATAGAAAAAATTAGCCAGGCATGGTGGCGCATGCCTGCAGTCCCAGCTACTCAGGAGGCTGAGGCAGAAGGATCACTTGAGCCCAGGAGTTTGAGGTTGCCGTGAGCTAGGCTGACGCCACGACATTCTAGCCCAGACAACAGAGTGAGACCCTGTCTCAAAAAAAAAATAAATAAATAAAACAGAAAATTCAATGCTATTTCCTTTACAAATGCCATTACTTTACCTTAAGCCATTTGTCAACACACTTGGCATGGAACTCGTGGTTACAGGGTAAGACTCTAAGTAGCTGCCTTGACTCAAAATCACACATGCATACTACGCACCTAAAAAAAAACCAAAAAGGTCATTTAACCAAAAAACCAGGTTGCTTTCTATTTTGTTATGACCATTGAAGCCTATAAAACCACTTTTCATTTGCAGTTATCAAAACATCACTTAAAAATTTAAACGAAATTATCAATCAATACCCTAAAAAAATCATGACGTTAAGGCATTTAGTAAGTGTGCTTTGCTTTACTGACAGATTATCAAGAAAATTTCCGGTTAATATCCAAGCCAGTCTCAATACCAAACCAAAGATACTATAGTATTCAAAAAAAATGGTGCTGGAACAACTGGATCTCCACATGCAAAAAAATGAAGGTGGACCCATACCCTCACATCATACATAAAAATTAACTCAAAAATGGATCGAAAGCCTAAATGTAAGAGCTATACTATTAAACTCTTAGAAGAAAACAAGATGACCTTGGATTAGTCAATGGTTTCTTGGAGATGACATCAGAAACACAAGAAATAACAGCAAAGGAGATGCAGGTGTCTTCAGTACCTGCAGGCGATTGTTCTAGGACTCCCCATGGACACCCAAATCTGCAGATGCTCAAGGCCTTTATATAAAACGGTGCAGGCCGGGCGCGGTGGCTCATGCCTGTAATCCTAGCACTCTGGGAGGCCGAGGCGGGTGGATAGCTCAAGGTCAGGAGTTCGAAACCAGCCTGAGCAAGAGCGAGACCCCGTCTCTACTAAAAATAGAAAGAAATTAATTGGACAACTAAAAAACACCTGTGCTCCCAGCCACTCAGGAGGCTGAGGCAGGAGGGAGGATAGCTTGAGCCCAGGAGTTTGAGGTTGCAGTGAGCTATGATGACGCCACTGCAGTCTAGCCCAGGAGACAGAGCAAGGCCCTGTCTCAAAAAAAAAAAAAAAAAATTTTGTCCTTCGAAGGACATCATTAAGAAACTGAAAAACACCGCACAGAATGGGAAGACATTTTTGAAAATCATTTATCTGATAAGGAACTTTACATCTATAATATATAAAGAAATTCTAGAATTCAATAATACAGACACAATCCGATTAAAAAAATGGAGAGAGGATCTGAATAGACATTTCTCTGAAGAAAATACACAAATGACCAACAGCACATGAAAAGATGCTCAACATCATTAGCAATCAAGGAAATGCAAATTAAAATTCCCATGAGATACCACTTCATACCCACTAAAATGGCTATAATAATATATAACAAGTGGTGGCAAAGATGTGGAGAAATCAAAACCTTTGTACATTGCTGGTGGGAATATAAAATGGTGTAGCCACTTTGGAAAAACTGGCAGTTCTCTGAAGTTTAAATGTAGTGTTACCATATGACCCAGCAATTCACTCACCAGGTATACATTCAAGAGAAATAAAAATATATATACACAGAAAAACCTGTACACAGACATTCACAGCAGTATTATTCAAAGCCATTATTTGGCTTTGGCATTATTTAAAGCCAAAAAGTGGAAACAACCCAACTGCCTATCAACATGAAAAAATAAACAATATGTGGTGTATCTACATAATGGAATATTATTTGGCTGCAAAAAGACATGATTTACTGATACAAGCTACGACACAGATGGACCTTGAAAAAGTTATGCTAAGTGAAAGATGCCACATACAAAATGACCATATGATCCCATTTATGTAAAATTTATAGAGATATAAAGTAGATTAGGGGATGGGGAGAAGGCGTCAGGGTGAGGTGCAGTGGGTTGAGGAGACATGAGGAGTGGTTGCCAATGGGTGAGGGATTTCTTTTTGGGGTGACAAAAAGGGTCTAAATTTTATTGTGGTGATAGTTATACAACTATGAATATACTAAAAAACAATGAATTGTATACACTTTAAATGGGTGAATTTCATGGTATGTGAATTATATCTCAATAAAGCTGTGACAAAAAAGATACTGTAATAAGCAGAATTTTCAGGTAAAAACTTCGAACTTTATTTGCATGGGACTTTTCTTCCATTAAAACATTCTAGAGTTTGAATTAGAAACAAAATTTCTAGGAAACCTAAAAATGGAAAACAGCCCTGTCCAACAAAACTTTCTGAGATGACAGAAATGTTCTATATCTATACTTCCCAAAACAGCAGTCACTAGCTAATGGGACTAAGTATTTAATTTTTAATTTTAATTTAAACAGCTCTATGTGACTAGTGGCCACCTTATTGGACAGCATAGGCCTAGAATATGGAATAGAGATAATTTATTTTTGTCAAGTTATCTTTTGACTCACAAACTTTTTTTCATAAAGGTAGAAAAGGAAATTTAAGAGTGGTATCAGAAAAATATTCTTACAAGGTCTGTTCTGACTGGTGGTTGTTAGGATTGAACCGGTAAGAAGGAAGTTGTTCGATATCTGCTTTAGTCAGTCCACGAGGTTTAGCCTCTCCCAGTCGCTCTGCTAGGTTTAACAGGGCCTGCAGCGGGAAAAGGAGACATATTTTCATCTTTTAAAAATTTTCTATTCCAACAACTTAAAAAATTTTATTATGGAAATATGAAACTCATAAAAAGGTAGAGAAATAGTGTAATGAACCCCCATATACCCGTTACTCAAGCTCAACAATTCATGGCTAATCTTATTTCACCTATTATTATCTACTCTAGACCTCAGATTATTTTGAAACAAAACTAAAAGACGGTATTATTTCATTGGTATTAGGTGTATCTGTAAAACACAATTCATCACTTTTGACATTGTGGGCTGGATAATTCTTTGTTGTAGGGACAGTCGTGGGTATTACAGGATGTTTAGCACCATCCCTGGCCTCTCTCTACCTTATTAGATGCCAGTAGCACCTCCTCCCAGATGTAACAACCAAAAATATCTCCAGACTTGACTTGCCAAATATCCCTTGGGGGACAAAACTGTCCCCAGGTTGAGAACCACTGGTCTAAAAGATAGACTTTTAAAAAGTACGTAACCACAATTATATCATCACATCTAAAAAATTAACACCAATTCTTTAACACCAAATGTTCGAATGTCATTAACTATTTCAATTATTTAAAAAATTTTAAGAATTCAAATAGATTTATACATTACCATGGCTTAATATGTCTCTTGTTAATCCTTTCATCTGTTGAAGAACCTAGGTCAACATGCTGTAGAAATTCCCAGTTTGAATATTGATGAATGAGCCTCCCCCATTCCTGACCAGTGTGGTTTAATACATTCCTTGTCTTATTATTTCCTATAAATTGGTAGATTTGACTGTTTCTATCACGAGGCCTATCATGTCTAGCTGTTATGTTAGCAGCCAATGACAGAACACTGTATAGATCAGTTAATTCATTAAAGATGGCAAAATGGTAATATTCCAATTTTATAATTTTCTCTTAGTAGATGAATTATTTCCATATTGAGCAACCGACTCATACTGAACTGTACTCAGTAGTGTAATTTATATAGCAAAGGTAGAATTTTTTTAAGTATCCACTATGAACTCAAGTATTTTAACGTATTTGATTTATTTCAACATGTTGCAATTATTATATTTACTAATTTTACACCAGTAACTACTCTCTTAGTTTTAATGACTCTAGTAACTCATTTGCTTTATCACACAATCGGGCTGCCTTTTGTGGATTTCCTTTCTGCATTTTTCAGGCTGCCACAGGGTTATGGGAATCGATAACAAAAAAAATGATGATGGATGAAAGAGAATTAATTTCCCCCAAATCCCAATAATGAAAGCTATTATAGCTGTTTGTTTTAATATAATGATACCACAACTTTGCTTTTGGGACAGATTTTTTTAGAGAATTGAGTCATCTAAATAATTTATTCCCCTTTCACTGGCCTCCTAGACTTTCTAAATGCTAGAATAGAAGGTAAATTATTAAATCTAATTGATGCTGATTATAATTAGCATTTAAGATTTAGATCTAATTCATGATATAGTTTATAATTATCTTTTATACACCTCTTATATATATTATAGGACACAAAGGTCAATGAAGACAATTTTATGACAATAAAATATGTTTACTAAGCCCTTTTTAGATGGAGAGTATACAGGCATACTTTGTTTTACTAAACTTTGCTTTATCATGAACTGCAGACACTGCATTCTTTTTTGAAAAACAAAGTGAAGTTCTGTGGCAACCCCCCCATTAGGCAAGTGTACTGGTGTAATTTTTCCAACAGCATGTGCTCTGTGCCACATTTTGGTAATCTCACAATACTTCCAACTTTTTCATTATTATTATATCTGTTATGGAGACCCATGATCAATGATCTTTGATACTACTATTGTAATTGTTTTGGTATGCCACAAACCACATCCATATAAAATGGCAAACTTAAATGACAAATATGTGTATTCTGAATGCTCCATTGAATGGCGGTTCCTCCATTTCTCCCCCTCTTCTCAGGCTCCCTATTCCCTGAGACACAACAATATTGAAATCAGGCCAATTAATAATCCTACAATGGGCCGGGCACGGTGGCTCACGCCTGTAATTCCTAGCACTCTGGGAGGCTGAGGCAGGAGGATTGCTTGAGCTCAGGAGTGCGAGACCAGCCTGAGCAAGAGCGAGACCCCGTCTCTACTAAAAATAGAAAGAAATTGGCCAAACAACTAAAAATAGAAAAAATTAGCCAGGCATGGTGGCGTGTGTGCCTGTAGTCCCAGCTACCCAGGAGGCTGAGGCAGGAGGATCGCTTGAGCCCAGGAGTTTTAAGGTTGCTGTGAGCGAGGCTGACAGCATGGCACTCTAGCCCAGGCAAGAGAGTGAGACTCTGTCTCAAAAAAAAAAAAAAAAAAACAAAAAACCTTACAATCACCTCCAAGTGCTCAAATGAAAGGAATAGTTGAAAAGCCTCTCACACTAAATATAAAGTTAGAAATGACTAAGCTAAGTACTGAATGCTGTGATAGGCCAAAAGTTAGACCTCTTGTGTTAAATAGTTAGCCAAGCTGTGAATGCAAAGGAAAAGTTCTTCAAGGAAATTAAAAATGCTACTCCAGTGAACATACAAATGTTAAGAAAGTGAAACAGCCTTATAGCCTTTATGGAGAAAGTCTGAGTGGTCTGGATAGAAGATCAAACCAATCACAAATCCGGCCTTGCTCCGGATTAAGTCGAAGCCTAATCCAGAGCAAGGCCTTCAATTCTATGAAGACTGAGAGGTAAGGAAGCTGAAGAAGAACAATGTGAAACTATGAGAGGTTGATTCATGAGGTTTAAGGAAAGAAGTCATCTCCATAACATAAAAATGTGAGGTGAAGCAGCAAGTGCTAATGTAGAAGCTGCAGCAAGTTACCCAGAAGATCTAGCTAAGATAAATGATGAAGGTGGCTACACTAAACAACAGATTTTCAATATAGATAAAATAGCCCTGTACTGGTAGAGGATGCCATCTAGGACTTTCATAGCTAGAGAGAAGTCGAAGCCTGGCTTCAAAGCTTCAAAGGACAGTCTGACTCTTTTGTTAGGCGCCACACAGCTGGTGGCTTTAAGTTGAAGCCTATGCTCATTTGCCATTCCAAAAATCGAAGCGCCCTCAGGTACTATGCTAAATCTACTCTGTGTTCTATAAATGGAAGAATAATGCCTGGACAACAAGACCATTTGTTAACAGTATGGTTTACTGAATATTTTAAGTCCACTGTTGAAACCTACTACTCAGAAAAAAAGATTCCTTTAAAAATATTACTGCTCACTATTACTTGTCACCCAAGAGCTCTGATGGAGATGTACAAGGAGATTAACGTTTTCATGCCTGCTAATACAATATCCATTCTATAGTTTATGGATGAAGGAGTATTTTACTTTCTAGTCTTGTTATTTAAGAAATACATTTCATAAGGCTACAGCTGCCATAGATAGTAATTCCATGATGAATCCAAGCAAAGTACACTGAAAACCTTCTGAAAAGGATTCATCATTCTAGATACCATCAATATTTGTGATTCATGGGAGGAGGTAAACATTAATAGGAGTTTAGAAGAAGCTGATTCCAACCTTCACAGATGACCGTGAGGGGTTCAAGACTTCAGTGGCGGAAATAACAGCGGATATGGTAGGAATAGAGAACTAGAAGTGGATCCTGAAGAAATGACTGAATTGCTGAAATCTTATGATAAAACTTGAAGGAATGAAGTGTTGCTCTTTCTGTGGATGAGCAAAGAAAGTGTTTTCTTGAGATGGAATCTACTCCTGGTGAAGATGCTGTGAACATTAGTGAGGTGACAACAAAGCATTTAGAATATTATATAAACTTAGTTGATAAAGCAGTGGCAGAGTTTGAGAGGACTGACTCCAATTTAGAAAGAAGTTCTACTGTGGGTAAAATGCTATTAAACTGCATACTACAGAGAAATCTTTTGTGAAACTTTGGTAAACTTAACTGTTGTCTTATTTTAAGAAATTTCCACAACAACCCTAAGGTTGAGCAACCACCACCCTGATCAGTCAGCAGTCATCAACACTGAGGCAAGATCCTCCACCAGTGAAAAGATTACTGACCGAGCTTAAGGCTCAGATTTTCATTAATATTTTTTAGCAATAAAATATTCTTAAATTAACATGTGCACATTGTATTTTGATATAATGCTACTATACACTTAATAGACTATATTGTATAAACGTAACTTTTATATGCACTAGGAAATAAAAAAGTTTGTGTGACTTGGCTTTAGTGCAGTGGTCTGGAAAGGGACCTTCAGTATCTCTAAAGTATACCTATAATGATCAAGCCCTGAATGAACTTTCGTTATCTGGAAGGCAAGACAACTGAAGGTAGGACATGGTTAGTGTGTACATACCATAAAAACAAAAAGGACAAACTCATTTAGATCTAACAGACAGACTAGACATGCTGTTCATAAAGGTAGCAATTTTTGTGCTGGGTGTTGCAAGATGTGTATGTTTTCAAAATGTGGAGGAAGGGGGACTTTCTTAGTGGAAGGATCGAGGGAAGTAAAGGCACCAAGACAAGAATGTATAGAGTGAAAAAGATGTTGAGTATTCTGGAGTGAGCCAGGACTAAGGAGTGTTCTAGGCGTCTACACTATGAGATATAAACAGAAAAGCAAATAAGACTTTTTAAATTGGTTCAAAGTATGACTTTGCAGATCAAAATATTCAACCCAAAAATACAGTTTAGAAAGGGATTCCAAAGACAAATACAAGATATTTTTCTTATATTGCAAAGGTATCACTGTTTTTTCTATTGGTCAGCTGTCCCTTTGATCAACATAATGATAGATTAATTTTAGTACATAAGCAACTCCTGTTCTTACTACTCTGTATAAAACTAATAAAAATAGTGTAGAAATAGAAAGTTATTACAGCCCCTCTCTCTCTCAAGTCTGGGAATGGAATCCAAAGGACACTGAAGTTTGATTATACATGTATAAAAGAAAGTGAAATAATAGCATTACTGAAAAACTACAGAGGAATACAATAACAAACTAGAATTCTTTCACATGCATTAAAAAAAAAAAACCAACAACAAAACACCAAAGGTGATTTAAGATTTTATGTGCCTGCTCTTCGTCCCTAGGTTATGACATATTTGTACTTTAAAATGCACAAAATGTTTACCTAATAAATGATTCGATAAAAAGAGTTGAGTAGAACAATTCTTTTATGCACAATGTTCCCCAAATTAATCCACAGTTCCTCTACTAACCTCGTAATTTTCTACTTCTCCATCTTCCACATCCAATTCAAAGCTGAAAGTAGGGCCCACTGCAGGTGGCACTGGAAGCATTGATCTGTAATGAAAACAACCACATTAGCATTGATATGTTAGGATATTAATTCAAAAAATAGGACAGGAAGGATAGAGGCCAGTGCTATAAATGATGATCAGTGTTTATCAGTAGCAACCTTTTAAAAGAGACTGATTTTACAAGCAGCAAACTATTAAAAATTAACAGTAAAAACATACCATTCACAATAGCATAAAAAACCCATAAAATTAGGGGGAGAAATTTAATAAGACATATGTAGGACCTGTACAATGCTGGCATAACTTAAAGATGAACAAACAGAAATATATCACATAAGCAAACTAGAAGACTCAATATAGTTACGGTGTCACTTTCCCTCTCTAATTGATCTACAGATTCCATATAATGCCTACCAAGATTGTGACAAGTTTTTTTTTTTTGGTAGAAACTCACATGCTGATTTTGTTTTATTTATCTTTTGAGACAAGGTCTTGCTCTATAGCCTGGGCTAGAGCGCAATGGCACCACTGTAACTCACCACAACTTCAAACTCCTGGACTCAAGTGATCCTCCTGCCTCAGCCTCTTGAGTAGCTGAAACTACAGGTGTGCGCCACCACAATTTTTCTCTTTTTTGTAGAGATGGGGTGTTGCTGTATTGCTCAGGCTGGTCTCAAATTCCTGTCCTAAAGTGATCCTTCCACCTTGGCCTCCCTAAGTGCTAGGATCACAGGTGTGAGCCATCCCACCCTGTCTGATTTTAAAATTTATAAGGAAATGCAAAAGAGCTCAAATAAAAACATTTTAAAAACAAAGGTGAAAGACTTATACTATCTGACTTTAAAATAGAAAAATGTAAGTAAATAGAGAAAGAGAGAGACAAAGGGAAGAAGGGAGGGAGAGAACAAGCTAAAACTATCAAAACAGCGTGACACAGGCACGTGGCCTTCTGATATAAAGATTACGTTTCCTAGTTTTCCTAGGAGGTAATTACAGATATGTGACTAAGTTCTGGCCAATGAAATGTAGGCAGGGGTAATACGTGCAACTTCTAGGACATATCCTTGACAGGAACAGGTAGGCAGAGGGATTAATTTTTATTTTTGCTAGCTGGAATGTGGGTGTGATGACTAAAGCCTAAGGATCCATCTTACTTAGATCATGTAGAGGAAGACGCCATAAAATTTTGATCATAGCAGAACTATTTTTCATAGTCATAGGGCTAACAAACCATCCTTGAATTGCCTATTTCTAGACTTTACTATGTGAGAGAGAAATAAATTATACCACCTCTAACCATGGGTGTTTCTGTTACAGAGCGAATTAATCCTAACAAAGTAGTACTAAAACATAGAAATAACTTTTCTCCTTTACCCCCAAGAGGAATAGCATCAAAAGCTGGATAATCAAGAGTAGACAGCTGTAAAAGAGGCAAAAATCTTAACCTTTTCTGCCCCTTGATTTGTTAAACGTGTTTTATGGCTAACAGATTTCTTGCTCCCCTACTTTTTCACGTTCTTGCTCTAAGTTCTTTCTTTAAGCTTTAACTGGCTCCCCCACCTCAACCCCTTAAGTAAAAAGAAATAACAAGCATATCCCAAGTTACAGACCACAAAGAAGATATTTATAAAGGAAAAAGAATCTCAAGGGTTTCAAAATTCAGAAATCATTAAAATAAGAAAGAACGAACTTACAACACATATGGTAGTAAGCTGGGATGATAAGGGGGAGGTGGTATTGGCTGCTGGGATCGATATCTACTACGTCCTGTGAGCCTCCGAGGCATAAATGGAGGATAAGGCTGTAGGGGGATAAATGTTAAAAGGATTTAAGATCATTCTACATTTATAAATAATCTGTCAAAGTCTCTTATTTTTTAAAAACTTAGAAAGTTGTTTACTGTTCAAGTTGTATTTAATATTTCTTAAATGTTAACACAGATGCAACAACCAATTTAAAACATACACTTAGGTGTATCTCTAAATATAATTTTCCATCTAAATACTTTCAAAAATACATTAAAAATTCTAAACACGGTGAAAATTATATTGAAATATAACTCAGAACAAGTTGCCAAAGCAAGTAATTAATATAATATTCCATGAAAACTTACTACTCCAAAGGACACCTCCTGATGCAAAGGATCATGTGTTAAGAACTGCAAAGGAGCTGATGGAGGTAATGTTGGTGGATGGGCTGATGGAGGGTACGTAAAACCTCCTACTGGAAGATGTTCTCCTAAGAGTTCCACTTCATTTTCTATCCTTTGCAGAGGCTGAGAAGAGAAAAATACTAATATACTTCCAATGTTTAGTTAAAGATTGTGCTTTATAATACTTAAAAATTTAAAAAACCTGGAAACATGTTTAAGGCCATGGATCTCTTGATGTTCACATCAATCTGAAATTCATACAGGTGGACATACAGACTACAGTAAAATCTTCCTACCTTTAATTTCAATAAGCAAGTCTCTGAAAAAAATGTTATCAAACATTGTCACTATCTTACTTTTTGCTTTTTCTTTTTTCGCTATTTAAACCTTTCTCTTAAAATGAGAAAGAAAGACAAAAAGCCATCTAGTAACGAAATACAGGAAAATTACTTTTCAGTCAAGGCACCCTGACCTACTAAAAGGATTTTCAGACACTTAACATTTCACAGATGAAACAGAACATGGTGTATATTTATAAATCAGAAACAGGGCTAAATGAGATAAAGTACAGAAGACATTACACTATAGTAAAAAGATTATGGGCTTTGAGACTAGACAGAATCTTGGCACTGTCACCAATCAGCCATATGACTCTGAGATAAATTACTTAATCTGAACCTCGTATTGTCATCTATAAAACTGACAAGTTCATGACCTACTTCAAAAGCATGTTGTTAACACTGAGATGATGTACATAAAGCACACGCTGCTATGCAAGCACATAGCATGTAGTTTTAAAAATCAAGTTTATTGAGAAATAATTCACATACTATAAAAGAAGTACAACTCAATGCATTTTAGTATAGTCACAGAGTTATGCAACCATCGTATCTAATTTCAGAACATTTTCACCACCTCAAAAAGAAACCCCACACCCATTATCAGTCACTGCCCATTTCCCCAAGCCATCTGCTCTCCATTTCTATGGATCTGCCTATACTGCACATTTCATATAAATGGAACCAGTTCATATAAACAGAACTAAGAAGTTCATGTCTACCTTTTTTTGCTTAGCATAATATTTTCAAGGTTCATCCATTTTGTGAATTGTATCAATATGTCATTTATTTATACATTTTTTGAGATAAGGTCTCACTCCGCTGCCTAGGCTAGAGTGCAGTGGTTGTCACCATAGGTCAATGCACGCCTCAAACTACTGGGATCAAGCGACCCTCTTGCCTTAGCCTCCCGAGTAGCTGGGACTACAGGCATGCACCACCACGCCTGGCTAATTTTTCTATTTTTTTGTAGAAATGGGGTCTCGCTATGTTGCTCAGGCTGGTCTCAAACTCCTGGCCTAAAGCGATCCTCCTGCCTCAGTCACCCAAAGTGCTAGGATTCCTGGCCCAAGCCACCTCGCCCAGCCCTTCATTCCTTTTTATGGTTAAATAATATTACATTGTATGGATACACCACTCTTTGTTCATCTGTTCACCAGTGTTGGACATTTGGATCGTCTACTTTTTGGATATCAGGAATAATGCACCTACGAACATTTGTATACACATTTTTGTTGGGGATTTCAATTCAGTTCTCTTGGGCATATTTATATTTAAATGTAGTCTGACTTCCTCCCACAGTTATGTAATAGCAACACATTCAAATATAAGTAAATATTAAATTTTTAATTTGGAAGCTTATGCACGCTTGAGAGAAATCACAACTGCTGATACTATGACAACACTGGTGAACCTAAGTCCTGATTTAGCTATATGACCGGACCTTTTAAAGAATCCAGATTTAGAAATAAATGATAGTTTAATTTTGCTTTAACCTTGAATTTCTAGACACTGGAACCTAAGAAGGAGAATATCCTGGCATGAATCCCATCCTGATTACAAGAAAAGATTTTCTTGTAGCTAACTTTTTAGATGAATACAACTTCTATCGTAATTGCTTCTATAGTTTTCAGGAGAGCAACCAGCTAAACTCACCCTCTTTAGTAGTCGGCATGGTACATAAAGCCTTAGTAAACAACGGTAAAGCTCTGCTGTAATAGACTGCTAAGTTCTTTTCCACAGAGCTGAAATCTTCCACTATAAAAATTTCCACAGGTTGTCTTTCCTGTTTCCCTCATTAAGGTTCACCATCTGATGGTTCAGACAGTGTACCTGGCTCACCTAAAAAACAACTGGACCTTTCTCCTGTGCCCTTCTTTGCCCTTATATAGTACTTATCTCCCCCAGACCCCGACAATATGCCTCTCAGCTATATTCTAGCCCCAGGACAAAATTAACTATGTTAATAGACTATTTCATCTTCTTTTCATCAAAACATACAAAAACAGACCTTCAGAAAAAGTAATTGAGACTCAGAAGGGTGAATTTACTTGCCTAAATGAATTCAAGTATTATTCTAACAAGTATCAACACTATTGTAAGATTTTCATTTTCCAACTTAGAAATACATAAAAGGGGAAAAACTAGTACAACTAAATAAAAATTTTTCTTCAGATTTACTTCCTGAAGAATTGCAGATATGAAGGAACAACACAAATTTAAATTGGACAAGTGATATTACAACAACTAGAAAAACTTAAATCAGGATAATTCAAGGTAAATATGTTTATACTAATTTATCTGTGAATTCCTTTAATTATTTTAAGAACTACATAAGAATGCCTAAGTCAGAGTGTTTAAATAGCAATAACTTATATCTATTAAATACATCTCCCTGGTCTAAACATTCTGGCAAAATTAAAGACATAAGAGTCGAGATACCTACCGATCGTGACTGCTGTGTTTGGAAAGGGACAAACTGGCCTGGTGGTGGCAAATGAGGAGGATGATGGGGAGAAAGGTGAGGAGGATGTATAAGAAATGGATCACTAGAAATAAGGGGAGGGAATGCAGCATATGGTACTGGCAAGTGCTGAACCGAACATGCCTGAAGCATCTGTAAAAGAAACCATTATTTTTCGGTTAAAAATATGAGAATATATAATTTTTTTTAAAAGATAGGTTAAAATCTGTCATTGCTATTCTTCCCCTAAAATCACACAAAAATGTTTTAAATAACTTATATTAACAATAAAGTAGTATATTTTTGATCTACTAGTAAAGTATTGGTGACTACTAATTATTCTGTATTTTAAATAATTTTTACCACCGGTCAAAACATCTTTTATTTTAGACTTTTTAACACCCATGAAATGGGGAGAAGTGCTGCATGGAAAAGGAATCTCTCTAGTTGCTTTAAGATGTAGCAGATGTTAGTTACTGCTATATCGATAAACTCTGCTTTTCAATCTTGTAGAATTTTTCTTTCTAGAATTTTCATAAGAGCATAACTCTCAACTAATTGCCTTATGCTCTCTCAGTATTTTAGTCAGTAAATTTAGCACAATGGTTCTATTACTGAGAAACTAAACTTGTTTAGTCTCTTAAAGTGGCATTGGTATTTGTACGTGTATGTTTGTTTTAATCTCACAGCCAGACCAAGTTATTAGTTATATTTAAATTTTGCCACATGCTTTCCTTTGAAGATACTGTTGACCTTAGATAAGTCATTTAGATCCTCTGGATTCCAGCAACCTCATTTGTGAAAGGAGGTTGGACTGAGAGTCAGTAGATTAAAGGATAAAGCATAAGCTTCATAGGTTTAAAAAAAAGTGGGTATGAATCTCTGTTCTCCCATGCTATTTTTCTCTAAGTCATTTAACTTTTCAGATTCAGCATCCAGAAAATGGGACTTTCATCACTGGCTTCTGATAGTGAGGAATAAGACCAAGCACTCAAAGTGCCTATTAAAACCCAGTAAGTGCTGAGACTGTAACTGCTGAACACTAAGACTCTGAGACTTAGGCTGACCCTCATCAGTCTTTAATTATAAACATCAAGCTTTAATTATAAACAGTATAGATACATGAGGAAACATGGTTTGACCCTCAGGATAGCCAAATATGTGTGATTTTATTAATGTAAAAAGATATCAGCTTTTAAAACTAATTTTATTAAATGGTTACTAATTTTGTTAAATGGATGACAACTGAGATTTCTGTTGCAATAAAATTGGCCATCTTCCTTGGAAGTGAAGCTATAAAGATAGTCTCTTAAATTTTATTTGCTTACATAATGCACTTAGCTATTCTAAAGAAGGCTGAATCATAAATCATGAAACGAAATCCAAGTTGGTGTGCTGTGAGATCTACTGAGAAAAAGGCACAGACTTACTGGAGGAGGCACACTACAGACAGGGAGGTGTTGTCCACTGAAAACCACAGAGCATCCTGGGACCTGTTGTGTACTACAAGCAGGGATGTGCTGGCCTGTGCAGAGTGGAATCCCATGTGGTGCCACTGTTGTTACTGTATAAGAAACAGGGACTGTGCCTTGATGGAGCTATTGGGAAAGAAAAATAGAACTTTAGCTGTTTAGATACAATATGTGACTATTAAAAATTAACATTTGGTCTTTTATTGGTTCCTTTCTCAGCTGCACAGATTGTCACAATGTACCTCTTTAATAGTTTTGTTTTGTTTTTTTTTTTTTTTTTTTGAGACAGAGTCTCACTGTGTTGCCCGGGCTAGATGATGCCTGTGGCATCATCCTAGCTCACAGCAACCTCTAACTCCTGGGCTCAAGTGATCCTTCTGCCTCAGCTTCCCGAGTAGCTGAGACTACAGGCATGCACCACCATGCCCAGCTAATTTTTTCTATATATCTTTAGTTGTCTGATTTAATTTCTTTCTATTTTTAGTAGAGATGGGGTCTCGCTCTTGCTTAGGCTGGTTTCGAACTCCTGAGCTCAAACAATCCGCCCGCCTCAGCCTCCTCTTTAATAGTTTTGACCAGAATACTATCTCTGTACAGGAAAGCTATTTCAAGAGTCTATACAATCCCTGCAGAACTGGGGCTAAACTCTTCCCTCAAGTGACTTAAAGCCCAGGAGAATAATGAATTGTGATTATTAACTCTTTTAGCCTGACTTATAGAGCAGAAATATTTTCTAAAAAGGAAATTTTTGGAAAAACAAAAGTTGGTATTTCCTATCCTTGGTCACATTCAATAGAAAACACATTTTGTTTAGTTGAAACTAGTAAAACAATGCAAAACCCTATTTTAAAAAGTTAAATAATGTCCTTCCCTCCCAGACAATCTTATTCTCATCATACTTTTGTCTATGAGCATACAAACATGATTACACATAAATTGCCATTTTTGTTTATTACACTGTATTGCAGATATGTCTTCAAGAGAGTTAAAGGCAACTTGTTCTTTTTGATACTAGCCAGATATTTCAAGTACTCAACACAGTCCTGCCATATATTAATAGACATTCAAGTTTTCACTCTTTTATCAGTACAACACAACTGTAAAAAATGCCATTGAAGGTATATATTAGTTTTATTTATCTCAGAGGGATAACTGGGTAAAGGGTTAAACATATTTTAAACTTTTACAGATATTGCCAAATCACCTGCAAAAGGCTGAATGAAGTTACACTCCCAAGAATAACATAGGAGGGCCCATATTTACCACGATCTTCACTCAAGGTAGACGTAATTGCATTATAAGCATGCTTATCTATCTGAAGAGTGAAAAAATGTTAGCAGCATGCTTGCTTTAAATTTGCATTTCTGATTAGAAAGGCTGAACATATTTTAACACCGTTTATTAACCCTTTAGATTTTCTCTTCTATAAATAATGTGTCCTTTGCTCACTGCCTACTTTCTACTAGGTTTGTCATAACCATTTTTAGTTGTTTTTCATTTAAAAGATATGAATTTTTGCTTGTCATGTGTAACAAAATATTTTCCCAGTCTATGTTTTATCTTTTGATTAAACCCTTTATTTAATGGCATATTTTTGTCATTTGTGAGCTTATATTTTTTTAATGTAGTCAGAACATAGCTTTTGGATTTCCTTTATTGATGAGGTTATACAAATAGTTCCTATGCTTTCTAATACTTTTATTTTTAAATTTATATTCCAACTAAAATCTTGTTTTTGTTTACAGTGTGAAGTAGGGCTCTAATTTTTCTTGCACATGGATAGACAATTATACCTGCTTCATTTATTAAACCACCCTCTTTCCTCTAAACTGAAAAACCATCTTTTTCCAGAGTTCCCACATATTCCTGGACCTATTTCATGCTGTTTTAGCTACAATATCTTACTAGAATAGTTAGTTTCTGGTAAGACAAATTCTTCTTCTCACCATACTTTTGTTTCATTAATTTTGGGGGCCATTTTCACATATTTATTCTTGTACTGGTATTATAACTATTAAATTTTATGTTATTTTACAAAGGATCCAATTTTATATTAAGCCCTTTTATCCAGGAACATTATGCCACTATGTTCTATACCACAGTTCTGTCCTTTAAGAAGAAATTCACTTTCTTCATGAAGATATATTATAAATTTATTCCTCAAAGTTTACTATTAAATTTATTTCCTCAAAGTTTGAGAGTTTTGTTATATTGTCACTAGATTACTTTTCTCTATTTGCATGTCAAATTGGCTACTGTTAGTACCAAGATACTAATTTTTATTTATCTTGACTCTAGCAACCTTATCAACTTCTTGATTCTAGTATTTTTAAAAATTAGAATTTCTTTCCCTAGGTACACACTACAGGTTGAACACCCCTTATTTGAAATGGCTGGAACTAGAAGTATTTCAGATTCCAGATTTTTTCCAATTTTAGAGTATTTGCATTATACTCACTGGTTCATATCCATAATCTGAAAATCCAAAATCCAAAAGGCTTCAACAATAAGCATTTCCTTTGGGTGTCAAGTTGGTGCTCAAAAGTTTCAGATTTTAGAGCTGATTTTCGGATTAGGGATGCTCAATTTCTGTAACTAAGATTCAACCCAATTATTTATTTTTGTCTTTTTGCATTGGTAAATTAGAACCTTCAAAAATAATGCCTATAGGCACCTTATATCTGATTTTAATGGAAATGTATGCTGAATTTTACCAATAAAATTAACTGATTTTTGATAAAGTCTGTCATACTTTATTGTATTTCATATGTAAAATATTTCATATTTTATTGAATTTAAGACACCAAGATTGCATTTTTTTGATGTACTAAGAAAAATTCTTCCAATTAACTGACACAACACTTGGTCATTTCACTTCGTCGTTCAGAAATTTTACATTTATAAATTTACTAAAAACGCTTTAGTTGATACCATGTAACACTGGTGCATTCATAAAAAGGAAAATACAAGTAAAATAAAGTGGTTAGTCCCAGTATTTCTTTACTTTATTTTCAGAGTTTGACTCTTGATTTTTTTTTTTTTTTTTTTTTTTTTGAGACAAGGTATTACTCTGTAGCCTGGGTTAAAGTGCATTGGTTTCATCATAGCTCACTATAATCTCAAACTCCTGGGCTCAAGTGATCCTCCTATCTCAGTCTCTTGAGTAGCTGGGACTTATAGGCATGTGCCACCATGCTTGGCTAATTTTTACATTTTTTGTTGAGCCATAAACAAAGTCTTGTCTTAAACTCCTGGCCTCAAGCAATCCTCTCACCTTGGCCTCACAAAGTGCTAGGATTACAGGCCTGAACCATTGTGGGCAGCCTGAATCACTTTTCACCTCTGTGTCAATGCTTCTTTTTTTCCACAAGAGGTTCAGTGCTATCAAGGGGGTTGGTAATGCAACATTCCTTAAAACAATCCATAAAAGAAACAAAGGCTATTTTGTGCTACATTCTTTATTCAGGTTTGTAACTATGTAAAGCTGGTCTACTTTTGACTCCTGCTTGGAGAATGATACTAACTCCCCTCCTCCCCAAACACAATCCACCTCAGCCTTCCAAGTAGCTGGGACTAAAAGTGTGCACCACTCATGGTGATTTTGAGGAATAGAGTTGTCTAAAAAACTGACACAGAAAGCTACTATAAACAATCCAATATAAAATTTTTTTGTGGACATGTGCATTCAATTCTCTTGAGTACACCTAGAGTAGAACTGCTGGATTACAGGGTATTGCTATGACATGATTAGAATTTGCCCAACAGTTTTCCAAAGTGATTGTCACTTTTTACTTCCACCAGCAACAGAACTGTCAGTCTTTTTCAGTCTCCATGGTGGATGTGTAATGATATCTTATGATTTTAGTGTGCATTTTCTTGATGAGCATCTTGTGGCCTTCTGTATGTTTTTTGTGTTTGTGAAATGCCTGTTCAAGTCTTCTGCCCATTTGAAAAATTAGATTGTCTTTTTAAAAAATGTGTATGAGAGTTCTTTTCATGTTCTGGATCCTAGTCCTTTTTTCCAATGTGGTACTATGAATATTTTCTTCCAGGCAGTGGCTTATTCATTTTCAAATGTTATTTTTGGATGATTTTTAATTTTAATGAAATCTAATACATTGTGTTTAAGTGGTAATTATTTTTCCTGTTTAAGAAATCTTTGCCTACCTCCTGAAGATGATCTTTTTTCATTAATAGTTTTACCTTTCACATTTAGATCTATACCCCAACCTGAACTAATTTTTGCATGACATAAAGTAGGAGCCAAGGATCAAATTTATCCAGTTGTTCCTGTACCATTACTAAAAAAGACCTTCTTTTCCCTGCTTGAATTCCTTTGGCATCATTGTCAAAAATTAAGGGACCAATATATGTTTAAGTCTATTTCTGAAAATAAACACAATTTATTTAAGTTTAATTTATCAGTAGTTCTATGCACAGTTGGTGTTTTCTCTGTCTTATTTAAGAAAGTCTTCCCTATTGAAGGTCATGCTGTTCCTCTGTTACTTTCTTAAAAGCTTATAGTTTTGCCTTTAACATTTAAGTCTTTAATTTACCTGGAATTGACTTTTGTGAATGGTATTAAGTAAAGGATCCAGTTTTACGTTTTCATTTGGATACCCAATTGTCTCAGCATCATTTACTAAAAATTCTGTCTTCTTCAACTCATCTGCACTCATATATCAAGTCATATGTCATATACAGAGGATACATTGGAGAAATGTGTCGTTGATTTTGTTGTGGCAATATCAGAGTATACGTACACAAACTAGACAGCCTATTGCACACCTATGTTATACGGTACACAGCCTATTGCTCCTGGGCTACAAACCCACATAGCATGTTACTGTACTGAATGCTGCAGGCAACTATAACACAGTATTAAGTACAGCTGATCCATGAACAGGTCTCAACTGTGTGGTCCACTTATACACAGACTATTTTCAATAAAAGTGCCTACCAATCCTGCCTCTTCCACCCGAGACAACATGACCAACGCCTCCTCGTCCTCCACAACATGGAGACTAGGATGAAGACCTTTATGATGATCTACTTCCACTTAGTGAATAGTAAACATATTTTCTATTCCTTATGATTTTCTTAATATTTTATTTTCTCTAGCTTAC